AAAAAAAAAAAAAAAAAAAAAAAAAAAAAAAAAAAAAAAAAAAAAAAAAAAAAAAAAAAAAAAAAAAAAAAAAAAAAAAAAAAAAAAAAAAAAAAAAAAAAAAAAAAAAAAAAAAAAAAAAAAAAAAAAAAAAAAAAAAAAAAAAAAAAAAAAAAAAAAAAAAAAAAAAAAAAAAAAAAAAAAAAAAAAAAAAAAAAAAAAAAAAAAAAAAAAAAAAAAAAAAAAAAAAAAAAAAAAAAAAAAAAAAAAAAAAAAAAAAAAAAAAAAAAAAAAAAAAAAAAAAAAAAAAAAAAAAAAAAAAAAAAAAAAAAAAAAAAAAAAAAAAAAAAAAAAAAAAAAAAAAAAAAAAAAAAAAAAAAAAAAAAAAAAAAAAAAAAAAAAAAAAAAAAAAAAAAAAAAAAAAAAAAAAAAAAAAAAAAAAAAAAAAAAAAAAAAAAAAAAAAAAAAAAAAAAAAAAAAAAAAAAAAAAAAAAAAAAAAAAAAAAAAAAAAAAAAAAAAAAAAAAAAAAAAAAAAAAAAAAAAAAAAAAAAAAAAAAAAAAAAAAAAAAAAAAAAAAAAAAAAAAAAAAAAAAAAAAAAAAAAAAAAAAAAAAAAAAAAAAAAAAAAAAAAAAAAAAAAAAAAAAAAAAAAAAAAAAAAAAAAAAAAAAAAAAAAAAAAAAAAAAAAAAAAAAAAAAAAAAAAAAAAAAAAAAAAAAAAAAAAAAAAAAAAAAAAAAAAAAAAAATAAATTATTATATTATTATTAAATAAATTATTATTAATTATAAATTATTATAAAGGAAAATATTATTATATTATTATCATTAAAATACAAATAATTATCATTATTAAAAATTATATTATTAAAAACAAAAAAAAAAAAAAAAAAAAATTTATATTATTATTATTAATTAAAATACAAAAAAAAAAAAAAAAAAAAAATTATTACAGATAAATTTATATTATTATTATTATATAGAGGATTTATATTATTAATATTATTATACAAGATTTTATGGCGCCAACAGTTTGCTCAGCGCTTTACAATATAAAGGGAGACAATACAGCAACAATACAGTTCAGTACAAGAGGGTTAGGAGGGCCCCCCCTTGGAGCTTACAATCTAGGTAGAATGCATTAAAGTGGATAATATAAACCCTAACTAGATGAGATTTTTCAAACAACAGTTTTCTGCAGCCCCTTCGTAGGCACTTCAGCAATGGCTGCATGGCTTCAGCGGAGCAGCCTTGCGCAATAGGCATCAGTACATTCGTGTGTGTGTGAATAAATGTGGCATGGTGACAACTCAGGGCACATTTGGAAAACTAGGACAGAGCGTTGTCACCCTATAACAGGAAGTGTCTAAACAAGGACCTTGGCAGGATCACCAGGGGTTCTTTTAATGAAAACTGCAGATTTAAAAAGTATTGCAAATGACATTAGCATGTTATAGCTTTATGATATTTATATGATGATTCACATCTACTTTAATCTACACAGGACAATATACACATAAAAAAAACATTATTATTATTATTATACAGGATTATTTTATATTATTACAGGATTATTTATACAGGATTTATATTATTATTATTATTATACAGGATTTATATTATTATTATTATACAGGATTTATATTATTATTATTATTATACAGGATTTATGGCGCCAACGGTTTGCTCAGCGCTTTACAATATAAAGGGAGACAATACAGCAACAATACAGTTCAATACAAGAGGGTTAGGAGGGCCCTGATCCTGGGAAGCTTACAATCTAAGAGGGAGGGGCTAGTGGTACAAACGGTAGTAACTGTGGGGGATGGACTGGTTGGAAGAGTAAAACATGCAAACATGGCAAATCTTGTACAATTGCAGTCATGAATTATACATAGAAGAAAAAAGATTCTTATAAACATTTACAGACAACAGTTCACATGGATCAGTTTATAGAACATGAAAACAGAATTATTATTTATTATTATTATTATTATAATTATTATGATGCAAAACAAAAACTTCCCTTTACTTCTCTGCATACAAATACCTCTCCGTCACATGATCTAAAGCCAAGGCAGCAATTGCCAGGGTTATTGTGGATGTTTCACTTCATTAGAGATTGCACACATTTTTTTTTTTTTTCAATCAGACAGACCCTGTCTGGGACACATGTAATAAGAAGAAGCACAGCCTGCCAACATTTATTAAACGAATATGTCCGCCCCCACATATCACTGCAAACAATACACTGAAAGCAGGCTTTTTAAATAATGACATATATACCAACAAGAATATCTGCAATAAATCGATCCTCCTAACATATATATTTTTTTAAAACATTCGGAGGACTATGGTTCCCCTTGAAAGCTGATCTCCAGGCAGTTATGGAAAAAAAAAAACCATTTTTTTCTAGTTTATAGATTTGTTAAAAAATTATTTTTTCATAGAACTAGCACAAAGTCCCTACAGATATCATCATATTAGCTTCCTGTGATACCTTATGCAGCAAGACTTGGACTAGGAGAGGGCTGGCCGGCATTCGTAGCCAATAGGACTCTATAGCAGGGGTCTCCTAACTTCTCAATCAAAGGGCCAGTTTACTGTCCTCCAGACTGTAGGGGGGCCGGATTGTGACCAGTGAGGGTAGGAAATGCCCCGGGCCCGGCATCAGTGAGAATAAACATCACCTCTGGGTTGGTGTCAGTGGGAGGAATAGTGCCCCATCATTGGTATCAGTGGGAGGAATAGTGTCCCATCATTGGTTTCAGTGGGAGGAATATTGCCCCATCATTGGTATCAGTGGGAGGAATAGTGCCCCATCATTGGTATCAGAGGAAGGAATAGTGCCCCATCATTGGTGTCAGTGGGAGGAAGGAATAGTGCCCCATCATTGGTATCAGTGGAAGGAATAGTGCCCCATCATTGGTATCAGTGGGAGGAATAGTGCCCCATCATTGGTATCAGTGGGAGGAGGAATAGCGCCCCATCATTGGTATCAGTGGGAGGAATAGTGCCCCATCATTGGTATCAGTGGGAGGAATAGTGCCCCATCATTGGTATCAGTGGGAGGAATAGTGCCCCATCATTGGTATCAGTGGGAGGAATAGTGCCCCATCATTGGTATCAGTGGGAGGAATAGTGCCCCATCATTGGTATCAGTGGGAGGAATAGCGCCCCATCATTGGTATCAGTGGGAGGAATAGTGCCCCATCATTGGTATCAGTGGGAGGAATAGTGCCCCATCATTGGTGTCAGTAGAAGGAATTAGTGCCCCATCATTGGTAATAGTGGGAGGAATAGTGCCCCATCATTGGTGTCAGTGGAAGGAATAGTGCCCCATCATTGGTGTCAGTGGCCGGAAATAGTGCCCATCATTGGTGTCAGTGGCCGGAATAGTGCCCATCATTGGTGTCAGTGGCCAGAATAGTGCCCCCATCATTGGTATCAGTGGGAAGAATAGTGTCCCATCATTGGTATCAGTGGGAGGAATAGTGCCCCATCATTGGTATCAGTGGGAGGAATAGTGACCCCATCATTGGTATTAGTGGGTGGAATAGTGCCCCATCATTGGTGTCAGTGGGAGGAATAGTGCCCCATCATTGGTATCAGTGGGAGGAATAGTTTTGCCCCATCATTGGTATCAGTGGGAGGAATAGTGCCCCATCATTGGTATCAGTGGGAGGAATAGTGCCCCATCATTGGTATCAGTGGGAAGAATAGTGCCCCATCATTGGTATCAGTGGGAGGAATAGTGCCTCATCATTGGTGTCAGTGGAAGGAATAGTGCCCCATCATTGGTGTCAGTGGGAGGAATAGTGCCCCATCATTGGTGTCAGTGGGAGGAATAGTGCCCCATCATTGGTGTCAGTGGGAGGAATAGTGCCTCATCATTGGTATCAGTGGGAGGAATAGTGCCCCATCATTGGTGTCAGTGGGAGGAATAGTGCCCCATCATTGGTGTCAGTGGGAGGAATAGTGCCTCATCATTGGTATCAGTGGGAGGAATAGTGCCCCATCATTGGTGTCAGTGGGAGGAATAGTGCCCCATCATTGGTGTCAGTGGGAGGAATAGTGCCCCATCATTGGTGTCAGTGGGAGGAATAGTGCCCCATCATTGGTGTCAGTGGGAGGAATAGTGCCCCATCATTGGTGTCAGTGGGAGGAATAGTGCCCCATCATTGGTGTCAGTGGGAGGAATAGTGCCTCATCATTGGTATCAGTGGGAGGAATAGTGCCCCATCATTGGTGTCAGTGGAAGGAATAGTGCCTCATCATTGGTATCAGTGGGAGGAATAGTGCCCCATCATTGGTTGTCAGTGGGAGGAATAGTGCCCCATCATTGGTGTCAGTGGGAGGAATAGTGTCTTGTATCATTCAAAGGTATAGTGCCCCAAGGGCCAGACATAGGCTAGCAAAGGGCCGCATCCAGCCCTTGGGCCACAGTTTGGAGACCTCTGCTCTATAGCATTGTACAGTGGTGTCGGTCTAATACAGGGGGCATGCTTACAGGGGGGAGAGCACAGTCTGCTGCTGCTCCTACAGTGCCCATTCGAAGGCATAAGCTGGCCATAGGTGTTTCAGTTCAGCAGGGAGCAGCCATATTTCAATCTAAGTAAAGCCGTTCCTGTTCGACAGAAGTCCGTCGTTACATCAACCTCTGTAGGAATGGGAATGCTGGAAAGCATTTGTCGATGAGCAGCTGCAGCCAATGGAGAGTCCAGCTGTCAGAATACAATGCCCGGCGGGGAGGATTCCTCTCTCCAGTTGTGTGGATGGCGGAATCCAGTAGGATGAACCAAAGAAATAAAAATCTAAGACCAGCTTTAGGCTGGTCATTGTCCGTTGAAAGGCATAGGCTGCTCCTTGGCCAGGCTGTATCGCCTTATTGTAATTTACTTGGCTGAGAGGCACAGGATCTGATTGTGCTGCCGGCAGGGGTGCCTGGATCACAAGACTGGCCAAACAGCATAACAATATCTATATTCCGACAATGCATTTATTGGTCTGCCTGGAGGTCAACTTTAACCTGAGCACATCCACATAAACCCCTCAGACAGTAGGCATGATACATCTAGACACACAGATATGATATTGTGTAGAACAATGCCATGATTGGTGGTAATGAAGTGCGATACGCAGACAATGTACACAACTGCTAGGAATGTATGGAAGGCAGCCGTCTTACCTGACTTCACAGAGCAGTGGATGTGAGCTTTGGATTCATAGTAGACCCAGTCGAAGCCGGCTTCCACCGCCAACCTAGCCAACATGCCGTATTTATTGCGGTCCCTGTCGGAGGTGGTGATGTCCACCGCTCGCCCTTCGTAATGTAAAGATTCATCGGAATGATGACCGTCTTCATCCCAGCCTTCGGTCACCCGCAGCTTAATGCCCGGCCACTGGTTCATGACAGAGATGGCCAAGGAGTTCAGGCGGGGGTCTTTGCAGCGCTGCAAGCGAGAAGAGAGGGTGTGAGCCAGCGGTTCCCTGCTGTATACAAAGGATTCATACGGTTTATTATTCAGGATATTTTCCTTACTCTACACAGTAATTAATGACCATTCATGTAAACGGACTGCCATGAGCATCTTAGTGAACCCACATTTTGTAAATCTTCACGCTGTAATGTGACTCTATAAAGCCATGGAGCCCAGCCTGTGATCCGGGACCACATGCAGCCTCCTGCTAAATGGAGACAGTAGTAGGTGTGTTTCCCCATTCCAGTTATCGCTGGCAGTCCCATGTCATGACAGTCTACGACTGACTCTTCTACAATTCCTAAAGCATCTTCTCAGCCTCTGACCACCTCCTGCAGCATGTCTGCACTCTCTGACCTTCTCTTGTAGCATGTCTGCACTCTCTGACCATCCCTTGTAGTATGTCTGCACTCTCTGACCATCTCTTATAGCATGTCTGCACTCTCTGACCATCTCTTGTAGTATATCTGCACTCTCTGACCATCTCTTGTAGCATGTCTGCACTCTCTGACCATCTCTTGTAGCAGGTCTGCACTCTCTGACCATCTCTTGTAGCAGGTCTGCACTCTCTGACCATCTCTTGTAGCAGGTCTGCACTCTCTGACCATCTCTTGTAGCAGGTCTGCACTCTCTGACCATCTCTTGTGTCATGTCCTCAGTCTCTGACCATCTCTTGTAGCATGTCTACACTCTCTGACCATCTCTTGTAGCATGTCTGCACTCTCTGACCATCTCTTGTAGCATGTCTGCACTCTCTGACCATCTCTTGTAGCATGTCTGCACTCTCTGACCATCTCTTGTAGCATGTCTGCACTCTCTCTGACCATCTCTTGTAGCATGTCTGCACTCTCTGACCATCTCTTGTGTCATGTCCGCAGTCTCTGACCATCTCTTGTGTCATGTCCGCAGTCTCTGACCATCTCTTGTAGCATGTCTCCACTCTCTGACCATCTCTTGTAGCATGTCTGCACACTCTGATCATCTCTTGTAGCATGTCTGCACTCTCTGACCATCTCTTGTAGCATGTTTTCACTCTCTGACCATCTTTTGTAGCATGTCTGCACTCTCTGACCATCTCTTGTAGTATATCTGCACTCTCTGACCATCTCTTGTAGCATGTCTGCACTCTCTGACCATCTCTTGTAGCAGGTCTGCACTCTCTGACCATCTCTTGTAGCAGGTCTGCACTCTCTGACCATCTCTTGTAGCAGGTCTGCACTCTCTGACCATCTCTTGTAGCAGGTCTGCACTCTCTGACCATCTCTTGTAGCAGGTCTGCACTCTCTGACCATCTCTTGTGTCATGTCCTCAGTCTCTGACCATCTCTTGTAGCATGTCTACACTCTCTGACCATCTCTTGTAGCATGTCTGCACTCTCTGACCATCTCTTGTAGCATGTCTGCACTCTCTGACCATCTCTTGTAGCATGTCTGCACTCTCTGACCATCTCTTGTAGCATGTCTGCACTCTCTGACCATCTCTTGTAGCATGTCTGCACTCTCTGACCATCTCTTGTAGCATGTCTGCACTCTCTGACCATCTCTTGTGTCATGTCCGCAGTCTCTGACCATCTCTTGTGTCATGTCCGCAGTCTCTGACCATCTCTTGTAGCATGTCTCCACTCTCTGACCATCTCTTGTAGCATGTCTGCACTCTCTGACCATCTCTTGTAGCATGTCTGCAATCTCTGACCATCTCTTGTATCATGTCCGCAGTCTCTGACCATCTCTTGTAGCATGTCTGCACTCTCTGACCATCTCTTGTATCATGTCCGCAGTCTCTGACCATCTCTTGTAGCATGTCTACACTCTCTGACCATCTCTTGTAGTATGTCTGCACTCTCTGACCATCTCTTGTAGCATGCCCATAGTCTTTGATCATCCCTTGTCATATGTCTGCAGTCTCTGACCATCTCTTGTGGTATACTCATAGTCTTTGATCATCCCCTGTCATATGCATGCAGTCTCTGACCATCTATTGTAGCATGCCCATAGTCCTTGATCATCCCCTATCATATGTCTGCAGTCTCTGACCATCTCTTGTAGTATGTATGCAGTCTCTGACCATCTCTTGTAGCATGCCCATAGTCTTTGATCATCCCCTGTCATGTGTCTGCAGTCTCTGGCCATCTCTTGTAGCAGGTCTGCACTCTCTGACCATTTCTTGTAGCGTGCCCATAGTCCTTGATCATCCCCTATCATATGTCTGCAGTCTCTGACCATCTCTTGTAGTATGTATGCAGTCTCTGACCATCTCTTGTAGCATGCCCATAGTCTTTGATCATCCCCTGTCATGTGTCTGCAGTCTCTGGCCATCTCTTGTAGCAGGTCTGCACTCTCTGACCATTTCTTGTAGCGTGCCCATAGTCCTTGATCATCCCCTATCATATGTCTGCAGTCTCTGACCATCTCTTGTAGTATGTATGCAGTCTCTGACCATCTCTTGTAGCATGCCCATAGTCTTTGATCATCCCCTGTCATGTGTCTCTGCAGTCTCTGGCCATCTCTTGTAGCAGGTCTGCACTCTCTGACCATCTCTTGTAGCATGCCCACAGTCTTTGATCATCCCCTGTCATGTGTCTGCAGTCTCTGACCATCTCTTGTAGCAGGTCTGCAATCTCTGACCATTTCTTGTAGCGTGCCCATAGTCTTTGATCATCCCATCATATGTCTGCAGTCTCTGACCATCTCTTGTAGTATACTTATAGTCTTTGACCACCTCAACTGACATGGCACACTAACTCACTTAAGCATTGCGCCTGCGTTGTAGTCTATTGCAACACATAGTAGTGCCTTGCATTATAGAAAAGGGTCATGTACATTTTGAATAGGCTGCCTTAATGATACATGTTAGGCCGCATGCACACAAAATATCACTGCTTTAGGGCTCATTTACACTTGCTTTAAAATGTGGCATTGAACATTGTTTTTTAAAGCATCCTGAATGCCAATCAAAGCACCTCTCACTAAATAAAATGGTTACCTCACAGTCCTGTTCACACTGTTGCGTTTGCTTTGCTTCAAACATTACGCCATGCTGCTTTCTTGGTGCAAAGCGTCTTCAAAGCCTCCATAGAAGTCTAGGACAACGCTCGCTAAAGGCACCTGCAGCATTTGTGTGTTTTTTATTCAGAGTTAGCTTCACTTTGTTTTGGAGGTATGAGATATGGGAAGCCAAGTGAACAGGAAAGACGTCATTAGCAGTCACTTCCGGTTCATGTGTATGTATTCTGGGAGTGTCTGGTGCAGACGTCACATCTGGTGTGCAACGTGGAGCAGCAGGAAATGAGCGGGGTCCAGAGTGGAGAGGAGCAACCAGCAGACAGCACACATGGTGAGCAACATGGGAACGCTATAGCAGAAGGTGAGCAGGGACCGGAGAGAGAGGACTGAACGGTGGAGGATCAGCAGAGCTGGGGGACCAGAGCAGGAGAAACTAGCACATGCACCACACGTGGTGGGGAAATATAGTGCTAGGTGACCGGGGACCAGAGAGAGAGGGGGATCATCAAACTAGAGGCTCATTAGAGCTGGGGGTTACTAGTAAGCGGGGGATCAGCAGAGCTGGAAGTACTAATGAGCTGGAGATCTGCAGAGCTGGGGATACTACCAAGCAAGGGATCTGTTGAACAATGATACTAATAACCTGGGGATCTGCTGAACAGGTGTACTGTTCTAATGAGCTGGAGATCTGCAGAGCTGGGTGTACTACCGAGCAGGGGATCTGTTGAACAAGGATACTAATAACCTGGGGATCTGCCAGACAGGTGTACTGTACTAATGAGCTGGAGATCTGCAGAGCTGGAGGTACTACCGAGCAAGGGATCTGTTGAACAAGGATACTAATAACCTGGGGATCTCTGTTGAACAAGGATACTAATAAACCTGGGGATCTGCCAAACAGGTGTTACTGTACTAATGAGCTGGAGATCTGCAGAAATGGGGGGTACTACCAAGCAGTTGGATCTGTTGAACAAGGATACTAATAAACCTGGGGATCTGACCCAGACAGGTGTACTGTACTAATGAGCTGGAGATCTGCTGAGCTGGGGGGGGGTTATACCAAGCAGGGGATCTGTATGAAACAAGGATACTAAATAACCTGGGGGTCTGCCAGACAGGTGTACTGTACTAATGAGCTGGGAGATCTGCAGTGCTGGGGGTACTACCAAGCAGGGGATCTGAAAAGGGATTGAACAAGGGAGGTGTTACTGTTTAAATAACCTGGGGGTCTGCCCAGACAGGTGTACCTGTCTGCCTAATGAGCTGTTCTGGAGATCTGCAGAGCTGGGGGTACTACCGAGCAGGGGATCTGGTTGAACAAGGATACTAATAACCTGGGGATCTGCCATCTGCCGATGACAGATCTACAGTGTACTGCAGGGGTTGAGCTAATGAGCTGGGGGATCTGCAGAGTGGGGGGTACTTACTTTACTTACCCCCCATTTGCGGATACACACTTACTGCCGTATTTACTTTGGGGGTGATAACAGTTAATATTATGAATTTAAACCTTAGGAACTGGGAACGGAGCAGTGGATTCTGTTCTGATCAATGCGATACTAATTAACCTGGAGGAGCTGCCAAAAACAGGTGTACTGGTTAATAATGAGCTAGGAGATCTACAGAACTGAGCGTCGGTACTCACCGAGGCATGGGATCTGCTGAACTGGTTTGTACTGCTGGAGCTGGGGATCTGCAGAGCTTGGCCGATACATACTGAGCCAGGGGTTACTGGGGCCTCACTTTAAAACAAATAGGAAAATCAACACACACACACGGGGCATTTGTCTAAGCTTCATTAAAATTTAACAAACTACAGTGGTGTCAAATTATTCAACCCATGCTGTAAAGGGGGTATAGGGACTTTCGTGTACATTTGGAATGTATTCAGAATCAAAACTCAGGGCTTTTAAAGTGGGTTTTTATTGC